CCACTCGTGACAGCAGTCCAAGAGCCTATGAGCGTGGAACAGCGTGCTACCAGGTGCACGCGCTTCCAAGCCTGCTGCTGATAGATCTTAATCATGATACGATACATGCAGTTCAATCACATATTCTACCTGCCCGCGGCAAAACCATATCGCTCTCCAACAGACCTAGCCATGATGTCCTTCACTGGTCCAAGCAGCCTAGTGAACGCCTCCGCTCCCAGCGCGGCGACTCGCAGTTTCTCCGGTCCCGTGGCTCGCACCGTAGCCTGACGGTTCTGACGATTCAAGAGAGCGAGCTCTCCAAAGTAGTCTCCTTTGTTGTACGACTTGACGACAGTCTCGCCCGACGGACCGTTCTTGACCGCGACCGCGTGGCCCGATTCGACGAGGAAGAACTCTTCACCCGGCTCGCCTTCTCTAATGACGTCCTCGCCTTCGGAGAATGTGCGGGATTCGAGGACGTCGGCGATCTTGGCTCGCTCTTGAGGTTGCAACGAGGCGAGGATGGGGACTTCAGAAAGGAAGGTCTCGTACAGGCGTCGCTTTCGGGATGTATGCTGGGGATCAGCTCGACTCCAGAGGCATGACGTCCGTCACCTACGTCCAGAAGGATGGTTCGGAAGGAGACTCGGTCGAGAGCCCAGAGGATACAAGGGGTGACGGACACGATCGAGGCCGCTCGGGGAGCACTAGATCGTCAGCTCGACCCTTTGCAACCTTACTCACTTGTGCATCAACGCGAGCTCTCCAAACGAATTGCCTTCGATGCAAGTCGCGACTTTCTTGCCCAGGTTTGGCTTGTCCCCTTGTTCCGGGTTGATCACTTGTCCTTCTCGCTTGACAAAGACCTCGAGGGTTCCACTCTCGACGACGTAGAAATAGTCTCCCGCAGCGCCTTGCTCAATAATTGTTTCGCCCGCCTCCAACGTAACTTCCTTCATGGCAGCCAAGACGTCGTTCTCCTGTTCCTCGTCCAGGTTCCTGAACAAGAAGTTAGGTTGGATTGCTGCGCGGATTCGTGCCAATTGCTCCTCGGTCTTTGGGAAAGACGGCATGGCATTGTTGGCAATGGGAGTGGTCTCGTCGTCCTCCGCGTGCGTCTCTAATCCCGGCGGGAAAGATCGCTGGTTTGTCGGGACGAGCGACTCGGCAGAGACCGATGTTCGTCGACCGAGGGCGTACGAAGGGACAGCCGGCTCGTCTGTCACGTCTTCCTGTTGACCGAAAGGCGAGGCGAAGGTCGGGTTCTCGCTGAACGGAGATCGATCTTGGGTAGGAGGAGCGACTGCCGCGCCGCCAAAGGGAGAGGTGAAGATGCTACCGGGAGTGGCGTCGCTGGGGACGGTTGCTCTCCTGGGGGCAAAGGGTGAGTCTGAGGGTCCCATCTCGGAGAATGGTGACTGAGCGTGTGATCCGAGTTGAAGAGAAGCGGCAGAAGGGATGGGAAGGTGAAGAGGGCGTCCGTTGGCTCGCTGTACGTCAGCAACCAAGGGTTATATCTGCACCGGCCCATGCATGGGGGGGTGTCAGAGTCAGGCGCTCGGTCTCACCTCTTGCCTCAACTTGGTTTGGAACCAATCTGCACCCCACTGGATCAAGTCTTTGGGTTGTTCCCTCGCTACGTCACGATTAAGTTCGTTGAGGATTTCGGTCCAAGACGAACTCGCCATGATGGGAGAGATGTGGAAAGGGGAAAGGAGAGTGATGAAAGAGGTAGGTATCCTTTGTGCGTGGGTGTACGAGTAGGACAAACGGGGGTGAGCAAGAGGGGCGAGGCGAATGGGATCCCAACGCGCGTTATTAGCTTGGAATGGGAGGATGGGTCAGGAACCCAACCAATACAACCCAATACAACCCAACCGATACAACCACCCAATACAACCACCCCGACCCTCACAGCGGACGATCCCCCTTACCCCCCCCCCCCAATGCATCATTGGGTAAGGGTGCAGCATCCACAGGAATTACCACTTTAGGTAATTCAACTTAACCATTTAGAGTTCATCCTACACTCGGCTTGCCCGGATATAGTCAGTCAAGTGGTCGGTGGACGGGGGATAAATTTGATCCCGCTCTGACGTGGAAGGATGAAAAGACAGCCATACCGATGTTACGTACCTATCTCCCCACCCCACGGGGTGCAGCGAGGACATCGACCACTGATCGACGATATCAACGCGTCAACAATGCCCATTCTCGCGCTCTCTCCATCAAGTCGATGACAGTGGATCTGGAGAAGGCGCTGGGAGATCTGCATCTTGCAGGGGAGGTAAACGGTAATGGGAGAGCCGACAATGGATCGGTGATACAGGGGGAAGAGCCACAGTGAGACCTCCACAATCACCTGGCAAAGACGCGAACACCTTACTAACAGCAGCACCCCTTTGTACCTCGATGAGCTTGCAAGGGAGATCTCACGACTATCAAAGACCTTATACGGTACGCTGAGCGGTGCGCGACGCGTCTGACTAGCAGAAATAGAAGAAGTACGACATGGTCCAAGCGACACGGCCCGGTTACACACCCTCCTCGCTGACCTTGACGCTTCGGTACCCGCAGTCCAGCGAAAGATTGAGGACGTTCAGAAAGATCATAACTCAACCGAGGATGAGAAAACTACGAGTAGATTGCAGTCCCTTCAAGGCGAGATCGACGAGGTCATCAACGAGCATCGAGTCTTGAAAGCGGAGATCAAGGAGGACGAGTGGTTGGCGCGCTTCAACAGCACGGTGGATCAGGCAAACACCATGATCGAGCCGTTGGAGAAGAGTTTGAAGGAGTGCTTGGTGAGCTTTAAAAGGACTAATCAAGGTGCAATCTATTGATGCTAGCATTACGTCGAGGTGATCTCCTCCTCTCCGGTCCCCGTGCCACATCAGTCCGACCTCCCCGAACTCCCCAGTCTGAGCTCCCTCGAAGACATGTACAGTCGCCATCAATCGATGCGCAGCACGTATGGACCCAGTATCGAGAAGATACTGAGGATGATGGAGAAGAGTATCCACGATCGAGCAACGAGGAATGGCGTCATGTTGAGGAGGTGAGTGCCTTTCGGTCACGAACGCTTCCTGCCCCCCTTTACACAATGTCAGTCGATGGCGAGTGCGGAGCATATTCACGCGAGTGAGATCCTCACGAGATGCATGGGAGAGTGTGGGAGAGAGATCGCTTGATCCTCTCTACAGCACCCATAGCTTGCGACGCGTATGGTGTGAGTGGGCCGAGTGAGGCGGACTTCCGAGCACAGTTCGCTGTCTGCCTTGGAGCCAGGTGAAGCTGGGGTGCCTCAGAATGAGGGTGGGGAACAGGCGGGATTCACAAGCAGAGACCGAACGGATGCAGAAACTGATCTCAGATACGATGAGGTCCTAAATCGATGGACCGAGCTGCGAAACAGGCTACACCAACTCGACACTCGAGTGAAGCTTGTTCTCTCCGGACCCAAGTCCATCGACTACGAGGACACTGAGCATGTCGAGATACTCAACTCTCCGCCGAGAAACAATCGCGAATACATGATCAGTGACAGACCACCAACCAACCACCGCGCATCCTTCTCTTCGGCATCGTCCTCCCAACAGTCGAGCCGAATCTCGTCCACCAATGGTGCACCGACCCTTTCACCTCGGCCTGAGCCGTTGCGATACAAGTCCAGCTTCATATCGGCCGTCAGTTCATCAACTGTCAGAACATCTGACCGTCCGCCTCAGCCTGGTACCGTCCCCACCCCGGCCAACCGGCGAACTTCCTCCGCTTCGTCTGCCGGTCGGTTCAATATCGCATCCCCCACGCCGAGTGCTTCCTCCTTAGCTTCTCGATCAAGGCTGCCAGTGTCTAGCCCGGTACCCCGACTTTCACTTTCCAGGCCTGCCGCTCAAGGCGACCTTCGCAACGAGCAAGCCATGTCGACTCCGAGCAGGCCCCGGCCCAGTGCTACATTCTCCGGCGCATCTGTCCCCAGACCATCTCTTACTCCGAGCTTTTCGCGAACGTCTACAGGAGGTACCCGCACGCCACGCGGTCCACCTTCGTCCTTTCGCTCTTTTACTCCCACGCCTGCTGGCCGGCCATCATCTCGCATGTCCATGGCATCTCAAGCCCCCTCGGGCATGGCGCCGGCAAATCTGCAGCCATTCAAACCCAGCAGTTATGATCTTCTCGATACGATCGTGCAGAAAACCATCGACGATGTCGGGTTCGACCGTTTCGTCGCTCGAGTAGACCCGCCTTTGAGAAAGGGTCAACGGAAGAGAGACGACGAGGAATGGAAGGGGGAATACGTCTTTGGTGCGGGTCAGAAGACTTCGAGCGTCAAGCTTTTGAAGCTGGCTGGTCGGGGTCCAGCAGAAGGTCCGAGGCTCAAATGTTTAGTCCGTGCTCAGGGAGCATGGAAGGATCTGTCTTCGTTGTTAGAAGAACGCAAGTAGGGCGCAGTGTCCGTTGTAGTTAACTCGTTCATCTATTCTTTCACTGCTTCTGTCCGAGCCGAGATCCGTCCAGCCGCCAATTTCTGGAAGCGTGGGCGTGATGACTGACTATCTCCACTACGTCGAAGTAACCCGCGTCAGACTCCCTTTCTTCCGATAGGCCAGGGAATAAATACCCCGCTGAACAACGGGCACTCGACCTCAACTCAGTCAGCACCACCCCAACGCCCGCAGTATCAAGTCAATACGCTCGCTGTGCAGTCCCGAGACCTGAGCCCTCAGGACTTTCATGCGTCCTTCGTGACATTGCTGCTCGACATGTCATATTTCACGCGGTCCTGGGCTCGGCCCCCCTTCATTGTGGCGGACCATGATCTGTGACCTGGACTCACACTGTTCGTCGTAGCCACTTTCTGTGGATTCCGCTGTCATAATGTATCCAGCGGCGAAGCCTTGCAGGGCTCTGACGTTCGGGGGAGCAGCGACCGTCTTGGGACCCCGATGCATGATGGAGGAACACTAACAGATGAGAGCGAGCTCGGAGGCGAGGAAATGGTTAAAAAAAGGCAAAAAGGACTCCTCCGCGAATCGAACGCGGGACCTCTACCATAGCCGAACTACCGAAGTAGTTACACCCTAAGGTAGCATTATACCACTAAACCAAGGAATCAAGGAGTAGTTGATGTTGGGATGATTCAAGCAAAACTATATAGGCTTTTTTGAGGCTGTTCCTTCTGTAGATCTGTTTTGACGATTGCGATGGCTTTATGGTTTTGGGGAAACTCACCAGGAGCTTTGAGGACCAGTGTGAGTTACCAAGTGACTCGTATGTGGGTACCGGTGTCTGGTCTGTAGGAGGCGCTGAGTGCACAACGATGTATGTGTATTGATCGGGTAATGCTCAGGTATATCCTCGTGGGGGCATGGGGGACGACATTATTTTCGAGTCCAGGGCTGGCGAGTGCGACTACTTGTTGACCCCTGGAGGTGATGAGAGACCATGGCGACTACAGTACTCTGATGGCTCGTCTTCGCCAAGGCTGGCATTTGATATCCGGCTTACTCATTACAATATTTCGAGGGGGAAAGCCGACCTCGTCGTTTGGCGGGCGCCTCCTCTTCGCCGACGACGAACATTGAGCAGCGAGACTCATCCGACTGATGCATGTCGCAAAGACGGAGGCGAGATATCACTTTCACACGTCAAGACCTTGGTGCCATCCTACATTGGGACAACGCCTCGTGAGCGTAGCCCAAACTGCCAAATGTATGCGGCCACAGCGACCGTGTGTTCCACTCTCCCAGTGACAGGAAGAAAGCCGTGCGGTATGGGGCTTGAAAGCAGCAGCACATGCAGCACGTTTCAAAAAAACATAAGACAGGACTCACAAGACGGGTCGGGGGTTATCCAGACATCCAAAAGCATACCGGGGGACTGGGCTGGTCACCGCCACTCAGGGACCCCCCCTTTTACTGAGCTCACGATGTCAGAAGCTGCCACTGCCCTGCTTTCCAATAGCAGCGCACGGTATCATCGTTTCCGCAAGGGCTTCACAGTACTTTTTGGGCTCCTGCAGGTGCGAAAGAAAAGGCAAAAAGTTGGACTCCTCCGCGAATCGAACGCGGGACCTCTACCAGATGGCGGCCTCAAGAGTTGTTAAACACCCTAAGGTAGCATTATACCACTAAACCAAGGAATCGTATTTGATGTTTTGACCAAATTTGTTGAGTTTATATAGGCAATCGCGCCTGCACAGCCGAATTAGCTGTCTCGTCGAGTCATCCCTCCTCGTAATCTGGATGCATCGCATAGGCCTCCTCCCAGGCCTGATAGGGGAGTAGTTTACAGGGCTGACCCATCCGGAAATAGGCTGAGCGCCATGCCTATTGTGGACCAGGGAAGTCATGGGGGGGCTAACAGCTTGTCCCTACAGGAGACGATGCGACACCCAAGCTCTAGGGCGTTTTGACCGGGGTCGTGCAATCTCAGTGCGGGTTGCCGACAGCAGTCATGCACTTTTAGCATTCTTGGGTTACACGTGAATGCTTAGCCCCACCCCCGCAGCCCAAGAGATTCTGCAAGTACCGAAGCGTTTTGCTGGACTAGTCAACGCGACTTAAGGCGCATCGATCGCGCATCTGGCAACCTGTCTGCATGTCATACCGAAGCAACCTCTGCAGGCATCACAGACCAGCTGAAAATCAGCATGGGTGCGGCATCGAAAGCATAGCTGCAGTCAAAACTCACATCGACACGCATACCGTGTTCACCTTTGTACTAAGTCAAAGCACGAGCTTCGGTTCTGCTTGCGCTCCTCATCGTGCTCGGGCTCGGCTGGACATATTCATTGAGACGCCCTGACTGCGCACCGGGCTCCCTGCAAGCCGGATGGCACAATCGAGACAGAGTCTGACCAGTGGAAATCATTCTGGCGGCAGACCTGGTGGAGCGAAGCCATTCGACCTCCGCGTCGTCGTATGCAGAGCGCGACCCTTGAGTCGAGCCAAGCAGCCATATACGACACAATGTGCGAGCGTTTGGGCAGAGAGGCAGGATGCAAAAAAAAACCAAAAATAGGACTCCTCCGCGAATCGAACGCGGGACCTCTACCAGATGGCGACCTCAAGAGTTGTTAAACACCCTAAGGTAGCATTATACCACTAAACCAAGGAATCCTTGTTTTTGTTCTTGCCAGCCAAAACATGACCGTTCCGGCGAACGGTTCCTTCAGCCCGGCGCCCCGGCGCATGTAGCAGCTGGTGAAAGGCCCAAGGGAGATAGCAAGCCCAAGGTGATGACAGAGGCATATGGGCGGAGATATGAGAAGATATGACCAGAGATGTCAGCCGAGAGAAACCATTTGAAGGCCTTGGTCGGAAAACTCAGCCCGTGATAGGGATATCCACCTTCCTGGTCAGGTCACGGACGCCGGGAGCTATCGAACATTGCTCGTGAATCCAAGCGTGGATTCTCCATGTAGTCTGCACATTCCCATAGCCCGCAGGCCCACTTGAAGAAGTAAGTCTCCACGTCGACTTCCCTCACTCTGCCGCGAAAGCTCGCAACAGAACTCAGCTTGGTAAGCCAGCTCTCTGCTTCAGAGCTCTTGGCTTGTCCAAGCGTCGTTGGTCTGCGGATCTTCCTCGCCGTATGGGTCACCACAGCACCCTCTTGACGACACAGCGACATGCTATCATACTCAACGCGGAACCCTTGAAGAGGAGCCCATGGTGACTGCCTGAAACCAAGATCGCGGCTAGATTCGGTGATCGCCGATCCCAGTAGACATTACTCAACCGTCAGATTCAGTCATCGTTACTTCACCTCCACCTACAGCTCTTGACACTGTCTTTCAGATCAGAACGGCGACAATGAGGTTCATGATCGGGGACCTCCCAGTTCTTTTCCCCTATGACCGGTACGTCGATTCATCTGCGTGTTGATGTTATGCTGATTGTTAGGATCTATCCAGGTGAATACCGACGCCCGTATATGGCCGAGTTGCTGATTGCTAGAGCAATACTCCTACATGTCTGACCTCAAGCAGACCCTGGACGCGGGAGTGAGTGGCATACTGTGTGTACGCTGAGCTTGCTAATGTATAGGGACATTGTGTGCTCGAAATGCCGTCCGGAACGGGGAAAACGGTCTCCCTATTGTCCCTTATTGTGTCGTACATGCAGGTAAGCACCTCTTAGCCTTCGCGATGGGAGCGACATGAGCGGGTCTCCTAGCACAAACATAGTGTTCTGGTATGGTGACTCAGACCAATAGCCTGTTGGTTGGATCATTGGGTTGTCGGACGAGGTTGATGGCTACACTGTCCCATCTGGGAGACCTACGCGCCATTCAATGAGCCAATCAGGCCGGACATAACCCTTTTGCTGACCGCAAGTTCTACCCCAACAAGCGCAAACTCATTTATTGCTCCCGAACGGTTCCTGAGATCGAGAAGGCGCTTGCGGAGTTGAAGCGATTAATGGAGTACCGAGCGGAGATGGGTGCGAAGGATGAGGATTTCAGAGGGTTGGGCTTGACCTCTCGGCGGAATCTCTGTCTGCATCCAGAGGTAAGCTCGGGATTCCCTCCGCACACTTTTCGTTAATGAGTAGGTTAGCAAAGAGAAGAAGGGGAAGGTGGTCGACTCGAGGTGTCGAGACTTGACCTCGGCTTTCGCCTGCGAGAAGGGGAGAACGAATCCCGGAAGTGTGCCATTGTGTAGCTATCACGAGGTCAGTATTTTTGTTCCAAGGGCCCGGCTGATAGGCAGGAACTCAACAACTATGAGACCGGGAATCTCATCCCGCCCGGTGTCTACACCTTGGACGATGTGAAGAAGTATGGACAAGAAAAGGGCGTCTGTCCCTACTTCACCATCCGACGAATGGTGAGTCCGGTCACGGTCCGTCGGAGCGGGGCAGAAGGCTGATTGTCTAGCTACCCTATCTCGACATCGTTATTTACTCCTTCCACTATCTTCTAGACCCCAAAGTCGCCGAGCAAGTGTCAGCTGAGATGTCAAAAGAGAGCATCGTCGTGTTCGACGAAGCCCACAATATAGGTATATCTCGACTCTTCGAATGTACGAATGCGCGCTTAGACCAGATAACGTCTGCATTGAGTCATTGTCAATCGATTTGACGAGACCCATGCTGGAGTCCGCTGCGAGGAGTGTCAACAAAATTGGTGATAAAATCGAGGAGTACGCTACCCGACTTCCAAAAGCAAATCGAGCTGACTCATAGGATCAAGCGAACCGATGCGGAGAAACTGCAGAACGAGTACGAGAAGCTGGTGGCTGGTCTGCAGGAAGCAAACGAACACAGAGAGGATGAAGACATGTTGGCGAATCCTGGTGGGTTTCAACGTGTCACCGTTGGCGATTTTGTTTGTTCTAATCGACAGTCCTCTCAAAGGACATGGTGGAAGAGGCTATGCCGGGCAATATACGGAAAGCGGAGCACTTTATCGCATTTTTGCGTCGCTTCATCGAATACCTCAAGGTGAGATACTATGACCGCAACCTGAGTCACAACCTGATGTTAGACTCGAATGAGAGTCTTGCATGTTGTGGCCGAGACACCCCAGTCATTCCTCGCGCATCTCAAAGAAATCACTTTCATCGAGAAGCGACCTCTTAAGTGAGTTACTCGACAGCTCTTCCTGCATCCCATGCTGATCCGTAGATTTGCTGCAGAGCGGCTCACACAGTTGGTCCGAACGCTGGAATTGACCAATATCGACGAGCATTACGCGTTGCAGAAGGTCGCTGGATTTGGAACATTGGTTGCGACATACGAGAAAGGCTTCCTACTCATTCTTGAACCCTACGAGACCGAGAATGCTACAGTCCCCAATCCCATCTTCCACTTCACGTGAGTTAGCCCTTCCCACTGTCTCCACGTTCCTGATGTCAGCTGCCTAGACCCATCGCTGGCGATACAACCGGTCTTTGAACGATTTTCTTCGGTTGTCATCACCTCCGGAACGATCTCTCCGCTCGACATGTACCCTAAGATGCTTCAATTCCAACCGGTCGTCGAGACATCTTACCCGATGACCCTCCAACGGAACGCTTTCTTCCCGATGGTCATAACGCGAGGGTCCGACCAGGTGCCTATCTCATCCCGATTTGAGGTTCGAAATGACCCTGCGGTGGTTCGAAACTTCGGAAGTATCCTGATCGAGATGAGTAAGGTTGTTCCGGACGGTATTGTTGCGTTCTTCCCGAGTTATCTGTATATGGAGTCAATCGTTTCGGCCTGGTACGACATGGTCAGTCCATGATCTATTCGGCTCTTATCTACGCTGACTGTCAGGGTATCCTGGGTGAGGTCTGGAAGCACAAGTTGTTGTTCGTCGAGACGCCGGACGCCATGGAGACCAGTATTGCATTGAAGAACTATCGTGAAGCGTGCAACAACGGCCGAGGTGCTGTCATGCTCTCCGTCGCTCGAGGCAAAGTTTCCGAGGGAATCGATTTCGATCACAACTACGGTCGTGCTGTCATCATGTTCGGTATCCCGTATCAATACACCGAGTCTCGTATTCTCAAAGCTCGACTCGAGTTTTTGAGAGACAACTATCGAATCCGGGAGAATGACTACTTGACATTCGACGCCATGCGACATGCCGCTCAATGTGTCGGTCGTGTCTTGCGGGGTAAGACCGATTGGGGATTGATGGTTTTCGCGGACAAGGTGAGTGCTTTGTTCTGGGGAGCGAGAATTCGGTACGGCCTGAGGCTGATGAAAGCGCTTTGCAAGGCAAGATAAAAGGGCCAAGTTGCCTAAATGGATCAATCAATATATCATCGAGGCCCACTCGAACATGTCGACGGATATGGCCATATCGCTTGCCAAGAAGTTCATTCGTCAGATCTCACAACCTTTCGACCATACTCAGACGGGGATTAGTTTGTGGACTTTGGAGGACATCGAAGAGAGACAGCGCAAAGACAGGGAGGAGGCTGCCCGAGCTATCGAGAGCTTGCCTAATGGAGGAGGCGCGGACGGTCGAGAGGGCGGCTTTGACCACGCTGATGGTGTCGATGGCCTCGAGGGGCCGAACGGCGTGACCCAGAATCGAGGGGTTCCTGACGTCGAGATGGACATGGAATACGGGGAGTTTGATGACGCGGCCTTGATGGATATCCCCATGGAGGACATGTGATGTAGCTAAAGAGAGACTTGACAACCCGTCCATGTAGATTATGGAAAGTGGAACCAATGCATTGTTGTACAGCTGTACATATCCGGACAACGAGAGCGAGAATCGATGCGACCTTGCGCACTATGATCCGGTCGATCGTTGGATAGGGTTGGTCGCTGCGGGCTCGTCCCGGCCCGAGTAGAATTTGTCGAGGAAAGTAGTGGGGACGGGGGCCTCCTCGTACGGCTTGAACCAGTGCATGATGTGGGGCTGGAGTCAGGTTGTTTTGCAGGGGCTGCGTGTGGGCTTCAACAGTAGGTCTGCCAGTATCTCCCCTCCTTTTCTGTAGGACCGAGTGCTCGTCGCGACGCTGGGCGCGGCACCGGTGAAAGCTAGCAGTAGCGGTGATAATCACCGTGCTATACACGCGACATGCCTTCCTGTGAGAGAGGAGAGGGGCATACCAGGAACACAGATCCACCGCCAAACGATGCTAGACCTGCAGGAACTAACGACACTCACCTCTTGCTTCCACCCGTTCATCGTCTCCTGGTACTCTTGCTGGTTCTTAAGCAACAACATGTTGATGACGTCCAGGTTGTCGACATATTTGTTTCGCTCAAAGTCTTGTCGAATCTTTAATCGGACCATGGAGGGTGGCACAGAGAGGGCATAGAGCGAGACGATCTCGGGAGCCTGGAGAGTCAGTCAGGTGTCCTGAAGGTTATGGTATGTGTCCCAGATGTGCGGATGACCTGCAACGACTCGGAGTGACAATGGGAATCAAGCGATAGGAGGTGGGAGGGGGCAGAGGGGCGGGGGTGACGGGAAAGAATGAATTCCCCGACTTACCGCTCTGTACCACTCTCTGTACGCCTGGATCGTCCTCTTTCGGGCATGCTCGAGCGTCGGGGACTGCAAGGTCGTTCGCGCTAATCGGGCGGGGATGGTAGTCATAGTGTAAGGAGCGTTGTACAAGGAGATGAGACCTCGACCAACGAGATGACGGGCGATACAAGCAGAG